AACGAACCAACAGCACTAAAATTTTGCATTACTTTAAATTAGCTGCTGATAATAAAAATACAGATGCAATGTTTTATCTAGGCGATTTTTACTTGAATGGAAAGTTTAAGGCGAAAAAGAACATAGGTCTCGGGTTATCATATTTGTATTTAGCAGCTTCTTATAAGCATAAAAGGGCAATTAACTTAATAAAAGAATCAGGTGAAAAATACGTTTTTATTCTTTGTGAATTGTTCAAAATAGATTGCATTTATAAATGAAATTAACTATAAATTTTCGCTTTTAAAAATATTTATTATTTTACGGATAACCAGGTTATAAATCAATTCCAGACCAAGAAACTGAAGATGAAGAGAATGATAAAATGGAAATCAATTAATAATTTAAAATATACTGCATGTTTATTATTATTAAATTATCTATTTTATACATTTTATCCACTATATAAATATACAAATTATTTTAATAAAATTTGGTATTATTAATTTTTAATTTTGGTATCAATATCGTCGTTAACGATGATTAATTATGAATTGTTAATGACGAATAAATAATTTTAAGACATTTACATATAAGGGCCCAATATTTGAAAAATTTTACAATCAAGGACCAAAATAACTTATCGTTATGACGATAATGATTCTTTGAACGTTTCATCATATACATGTACTGCTTAGAGTTTGGAATCGGTTTTATTTATCTTATGGCAGTACTGATTAAAACCAGATTTAATATAAGAAAAATAAAACCGGTTCAAACTCTAGTACTGCCTTATGTATTTTATATTATATCCTTTTGTTTAATGAAGCCTACTTTTAACTACTTTACAAAATCTACAAATTTCAAGGTATGCAAATATTTGGCAATAAAAAGCAATATTTATTGCTTTATAAGCTTTTAAATTGCTAAATTAGGAGTTTATCTCTAAATTTGTAAAATATTTTTAATATTTTAAGCCTATTAAATAGCAAAATTTTAGGTTTTTAAAAATAAATAAAATTAGCATCAAATTATAAAATATTATAGCATTATTATAACCAATATTTTACTTTCTTAGGTTTCAACAAGCATTTGTTTAGCTAATACTTATTGTTAATAAGCATTCCAAAATAAAATTTATTAATAGCATATTTACTATATACGTATAACTAGCAAATTAATATTATAAAAACAAAAAAACATTTTATTTTTTTTAAAATATATAATATTAATATTTTAAACCTATTAAATAGCAAAATAATAGCTTATATAAACCAAAACATTAGGTGCAATATTAAAAAGCTCAAAAATAATAAAAGAGATTTTTATTTGTACACAAGGTGTATATAAATAGGCAATATGGAAACCAACTGATATCTCAAAATTTTGATTATAAGACCATCTTTTGATTTTTAACAAAAAATTTCTTGAGAAATTTTGGTATAAATTATACCTCGCCCAATCTCAAACCAACTCTTACCCTAACTATAAGTCAGGTTTAATTTTTATTTGTAAAAATTGGTTTGATTGTCATGTTAAACAAATTTGTAATTAAATTATATTGCGTATAAACACTCTGTGTAAACTAATAAATTTTCTGATAAAATATATATATATATATTATGCTTTCATATTTTAATTACAAAAATCCAATTTAATTCATTTTAAAAAATTACAGTTTGTTACTATTAACTTTAAGAAAACTAGTAAG